CCTACACCCAAATAAATATGATTGTTCTGCTGCCCTCCAGCCCTCTCCTGGTTTCTTTCCCCCAAGCTGGGTGTTGCTGGGGGCTCTGCTCTTCCCACTGGGGAGGGAGGGGTCTGGATGTCCCTCACTCTCCCTGCACTTCCTATAGCACCGGGACTCCCCACCCTGAGATCCCAACACACCCGGGTACAAACATGCAGCTTTATTCCCGGTTCTGTGTCACAACCCCGGCCCTGCTGGTGCTCAGTGGCACCGCAGTCCATGCAGTGGCCGTTGTGTGTCATACAGCAGTGATACCACAGTGCGCCCGGCTCAGCATCTGTGTGCCATGGCACAGCTCTTGTGGTCCCTCGTCGCTGCCCTAGTGTCCCTACCCTCAGTGTCCCCATTCTCAGTCCCAAAGCTCAGTGTCCCCATCCCACCTCCCGCTGCCCCCACCCCCTGCCATCCCCATCCATAACTCCCGCTATCCCTCACCCCCGCTCCCTCTGTCCCCCTCCCCAGGTGCCCCCTGTTGTCCCCAGTCCTGCAGCAGGTGCCACGTGTGGCTGCCAGGGCGCAGCACCTCGTGGGGGGGTCCCTGCTGGCACACCTCTCCCCCCTCCAGCACAGCCACCCACTGTGCCTGCGCTGCCAGGGCTGCCCGCCCCGTCACCATCAGCACTGCACGCCCCGACCCTCTGGCTGCGAGGATCTCCTGTTCCACCTGTGGGAGGAAAAATGGTCAGCAGGATGTCCCCAGCCACAGCCAGGGACTGAGGGACACCAGGAGTGGGGATCGTGGGGACCTCAGAGTGCAGACTGAGGGTACGCAGGGCTGCGGGGGATGTGGGGACACGGAGGACATCCCACCTGCTGCTGGCACTCAGTGTCCAGGGCGCTGCTGTGCTCATCGAGGATGAGGATGCGGGGGTCCCGCAGCAGCGCACGGGCAATGGCCACCGCCTGCCGCTGCCCCCCGGAGAGCTGTCCTCCCAGCTCGCCCACCTCTGCGGGGATAGGGGGGTCAGGATGGGTGGGAACCCTACAGGGGACACGGAATGAAGCAGGGACACCATACCTGTGTCGTAGCCTTGGGGCAGGCGGGTGATGAAGTTGTGGGCGCCCACCTGGCGGGCAGCTGCTGTCACCTGCGCCCGGCTGCAGCACCCCAACCCATAGGAGATGTTGGCGTGGAGTGAGCGGGCAAAGAGCAGCGGCTCCTGGGGGACCACGGCCACCTGCAGTGGGAGGAACAGCTGGGGACATGGCAGGGATGCAGCAGTAGAGGTGATGGGGTGGCTGGAGATGTGCCAGGGACATCTGAGGACATGGTGGGATGGCTGGGGAGACGGCAAGGATGGTTGGGGACTTGGCTGGGACACTGGGGAACATGGTAGTGATGGCTGGTGACCCAGACATCTGGTGACCCAATGGGGATGGCTGCTGATCTGCAATGAGATTCGGTGACCCATGGGGACAACCAGGAGCCATGGGGACATGCACTGACTCACCTGGCGGCACAGGTAGGAGTGCTGGTAGGTGGGGAGGGGGTGGCCGTCCAGCAGCAGACGCCCGGCTGTGGGCTGGTGAAGGCGTGACACGAGGGCCACCAGAGTGCTCTTCCCTCCACCTGGGGGTCCCAGCACTGCCAGCACCTTCCCTGGGCGCAGCTCCAGTGATACGCCCTGGGAACACAGATGTCACACCCATGGTGTCCCTGTACCCAGCCCTTCATGGCCACATGGCCTTCCTGCTGTGTCCTTCTGTCCCCTGTCCCCCCCCCAATCCCTTGTTTTGTTTCCACAGCTCTGGTACCACATCTACACACCCATGCCCTCCCCACCATGTCTCTGTGTCACTCATCATGTGCCCATGCCACATCCCCACCATATGCCATGTCCCTGCGCCCTCAATGCCACGTCCTCATGTTCCTCTGCGACATCCCCATACCATTCCCTCTGTGTATCTCCTTGTTTCGTATCCTCACACCCTGTCCATCATGTCCCTGTTTCCCTGTATCACCTCACTGTGTCAGCACACCTGTCACACTGTCCCACCACATCCCCATGTCCCCTGGTTGTGTCCCTGTGCCCACCTTGAGGACGGGCTCCTGGCGCCCGGGGTAGGAGAACCAGACATCCTCCAGCTGGAGGTGGCCCTGCAGTTCACTGGGTGCCATTGTCCCTGAGGGTGTGAGCTGTGGCTCCCGGTCCAGAAACTCAAAGATCTTCTCCGAAGAGCCCACAGCCTTTGTCAGTGTGGGGTAATAGCAGAGCAGGACCTGGGCACAGCACAGTGATACAGCCAGGAGGGCAAGGAGATGTGCCAGGGGGACATGGGGACATGGGGATATGGGGATATGGGCACCCCCTCTGGCTCACCTCCACAACATCAGTGAACTGCATCTGGTAGAGGAGGAAGGTGACAAGGTCCCCAGTGCTGACGGTCCCTGCAGCCACCAGCCGCCCCCCATAGTAGAGGATCCCCACCTTCAGGGCCAGCGCTGAGAACTGAGGATGCCATGAGGTCACCAGGGGACACCTCCCCATGGGACACCAAGTTCCCAGCCCCACCTCCCCGTGCTATCAATGTCCCCCATGTCCCAGTACCCCACAGCTGTGCTATCTGCCTCTTCACGTCATCATGTTCCCAGTGTCCTGGAGTACCTATGCCACCCCATTCCCACATCACTGCACCTCCTGCCCCACAGCCCGTGCACTGTTGTGCCTGCCACATCCTGATGTCCCTGTGGGACCATCATGTCCACATCCCACAGTCCCCATGCCATCAAATCCCCATGCTATTGAACCACTCCATCCCGTACACCGCTGGTCCACGCAGAGACAGTGTAGAGGGCCACATCCTTCATCTCCAGGCGGTGGCTCTGCTGCAGGCACTGCCGGTAGTGCGCAGCCGCCCCGTCCTCGTTGGCAAAGCTGCGCACAGTGGCCATGGCCTGGAAGGTCTCCACTGCCACCTCGCTGGCCTGGGCCTGTGCCTTCTGCATCTGTGGTGCCAGGGCCTGGGGACAGCAGTGTCACTGCAGGGTGAGTGGGAGGGGAATGGGGGCTGGGGAGGGGACAATGCATGTATGGAAGGGACAGAGAACACGTGGAGGGGATGGAGGGGACATAAAGGGGATGGTGGGCTTGTGGAGGTGGGGATGTGCAGAGGACTACTGATGTGGAGGAGATAATGGTCACACATAGGGAATAGTGAGCATATGGCAGGCATGGTGGACACATGCAAGGGGCATGGGGGCATGTGGAGGGACAATGGTCACACAGAGGGGACAACAGGCAGGAGGATAGTGGGTACATGGAGGGGACAGTGGGCACATGGAGAGGACAATGAGTACACAGCGGTGACATCGGACACATGAAGGGGACAGTGAGTACATGATGGTGACACTGGGCACAGGAATGGCACAAGGGGCACATGATGATGACCAAAGACACGTGTAGGTGCAGACAGCAGCTCATACCTGCTGGAAGTGCCCCACAGCCCTGGGCAGGGCCAGCAGCAGCGGCAGCGCCAGCGCGGTGAGCAGCGCCATGCGCGGGGACAGCCAAGCCATGGTGGCGAAGAGGCAGACGCCGCGTGCCAGATACCACAGCAGGAGGCTCAGCGCTTCGCCCAGTGCCTCGCGCACATCCTCCGCGTCCCGTGTCACCCGCGTGGCCACATCCCCTGATGGGTGACAGCACCATCAGTGCCACCCAAACTTATCCCCATGCCCCCTCCCAGCCCGGTGCCCCTCACCGGCCCCGTCGGTGCGCAGCTCAGCGATGTCCTGCCGCAGGACGGCGGCGAAGACACGGCGCTGCAGGCGGCTCTGCGTGCGGCTCAGTATCCCCACGAAGGTCACATCGCACACCAGCTCGGTGACAGCACTGCAGTGGCAGTGGGGTGTCAGGGAGGCCCGTGCTGCCCCCCACCTGCACCGCATCCCCCTCTGTGCCAATACCTGCTGAGGCCCAGCAGCACCATGGGCAGGATGGCTGCCAGCTCGTCCTCGCGGGCCACCCAGTCGCTGGCACGTCCCATGTAGTAGGGCACGGCCATCTCGCCTGTCAACACAGCAGGGTCAGGGTATGGGGACTCCCCGAAGGATGGTGCCCCGGAAGTTCTGTGCTGCATCCCCAGTTTGGTGCTGCACCCCCAAAATTCAGAAGTGAACCCCCAAAGCTCAGTGTTTCCCCGCAGTTGGCTGCACCCCCCACCCCACCCCAAACCCATATCCATTCCCATTCCATCACCATCCCCACCCCAACCCAACCCCAATCCCATCTCCATCCCCACTCCATCACATCCCCATTCCCACCCCATCTTCAATCCCCATTCCATCCCCACCCTGAACCCAGACCCAGTTCCAATTCCTTTCCCTATTCCCACTCCCTCCTATCCAATCCCAGTTCCAAACCCATACCATTCCCATTCCATCTCAACCCCATTCCCAGTGCCCAGCCTATCCCCATCCTCATCCCTACCCCCACCTAATTCCATTCCCCACCCTATTCCATGGCTATCTCCATCCCCACCCCCATTCCATCCCGTTCCCAATCCCATCCCCATCCCCATCCTTATTCCTATCCCCACTACAACCCTATCCTCATTCAAATCCCAATCCCACTCCGATCCCACCCCCACTCCCCCCCGCCCCGTACCCAGCGCCGAGGCCGCCATCAGACCAATCACCGCGGCGCAGCGCCGGCGCTCGGGGCTCAGCGAGAGGAGGAGGCGGCGACCCGCGCCCATCGCCCCTATCGCGACCCCGATCCCACTCCGGCTCCGATCCCAATGCCCGGCAGCGGCCTCAGCTTCTCGGAAACGAGAGCGTCGCTCATTGGCTGAGGCTGTGCAGCAGCGGCGCCGCTCATTGGTCGAGACGGCTCTGCATCATCAGTTGCCAGGCAAATCGGAACACAGCAGTTTGGAGAGGGGCGGGGTAATTGAAAGTGAAAGTAACGGCGGAGCGGGGAGGAGATGGAGAGCGGCGGTGGTGAGGGGCTGGAGGGGGCTGGAGGGGACAGGTGGTTAATGGTGGGGACTGTCGAGGGGCTGGCGGGGAACTGGTGGGGACTGGAGGGGTTTGGTGGCCACTGGAGGGGGCTGGAGGGGCTTAGTGGCTGCTGGTGTGTGCTCCAGGCAGGTCCGTGGGGAGCCGGGCTGGAACTGGGGGCCATT